ACACCAAATGTGAAAAATCGGGATGGGGGTGGGGGGTAACAGGAGCCTATATAAGAAAAAGACCCCAAAATAGGGACTGTCCCTATAAAATCGGGACATCTGGTCACCCTAAAGCCGGGGGATGCTGCTCTTCACTCCTACTCCACTCCTTCCCAGGTGAGGTGGTGGATGGGGGAGGAACAGAGTCGCTGTCCTGTCCACGTTTCTCAGAGTCTGGAAGGAGGGAGCTGAGCTCTTTGCTCTCTTCTGCGGGAAAGACAAAGAGGAGAGACTCTGACAGCTTCTGCCAGGGCTGGACTTCACCAGGGGTCTGGTGCTTCTCGCGTCATCACCAGCACCCTCTGAAATCCTGACAGTCACAAAAAATCACTCGGGTTGGCAGCACTGTAAAAGTCTGGCTACAGCTGCAGAGTAGCTGGCTGGATGCCATTTGGGCCGCCTCCCAGCAGCTTGCCCAGCCCTCCCATGTGCAGCTTGCCCAGCAGTGCAGTCCTCCAGGGGCCAAGCTTGGGATGGAGCTAGACTGGAGCAGCTGAGGAGAAAGGGACCTCCTGGAGCTGAAGCTGCCTGATGCCCAGGTAAAGCCTCACTTTCAGCCAAGACTTCCTCACTTGCACCCCTCCTTTCTGAGCTCCTCTTTCTCCTTCAGTCACTCACCCCAGACCTCCGCCGTTTGACATAGGCACCTACTTCTCCTTAAGAGCACTTTTTTAAATTTTCTTCAAGGGCTACTCAAAATGTTTTGTATTTTTCTTGATTTCAGTTTTGTGCAAAGGGCACTTGTGACGGGTTGGATCACAGAAACCCCCTTGGGATTGCCAACTGATGTGCCAAGACTACTTCTGCCCCTGCTTTCCCTGCCAGCTTGGGACTCTAGCACCCTGTCTTGTTGAGCCAGACACACCAGTCTGTTCCAGCACAGACCCAGCGTCTTAACCATGTGCCCCAAAGCTGCAGACTTACCTGAAAGCAACTTAAGAAGTGTTCCTGTCTTTAACACTCAGATGCCCAACTCCCAATGGGGTCCAAACCCCGAATAAATCGGTTTTACCCTGTATAAAGCGTATACAGGGTAAACTCATAAATTGTTCACACTCTATAACACTGATAGAGATTTATGCACAGCTGTTTGCCCCCCCTTCCAGATATTAATACATACTCTGGGTTAGTTAATAAGTAAAAAGTGATTTTATTAAATACAGAAAGTAGGATTTAAGTGGTAATAGTAGACAGAACAAAGTGAATTAACAAGCAAAATAAAAAACAACAACATGCAAGTCTAAGCCTAATACAGTAATAAAACTGAATACAGATAAAATCTCACCTCAGAGATGTTTCAATAAGTTTCTTTCACAGACTGGATGCCTTCCTAGTCTGGGCACAATCCTTTTCCCTGGTACAGCCCCTGTTCCAGCTCAGGTGGTAGCTAGGGGATTTCTCATGATGGCCGCCCCTTAGTTCTGTGCCACTCACTTATATATCTTTTGCATAAGGTGGGAATCCTTTGTCCCTCTCTGGGTTCCCCCCTCCTTCTAAATGAAAAAACACCAGGTTAAAGATGGATTCCAGTTCAGGTGACATGATCACATGTCACTGTAAGACTTCATTACCCACTTGCCAGCACACACGTATACAGGAAGACTTACAAGTAAAACAGAGCCATCTACAGACAATTGTCCTGGTTAATGGGAGCCATCAAGATTCCAAGCCACCATTAATGGCCCACACTTTGCATAATTACAATATTATGAGTTATATTTCATATTTCTAGTTTCAGATACAAGAGTGATACATTTATACAGATAGGATGACCAGACTCAGTAGATTATAAGCTTTGTAATGATACCTTACAAGAGACCTTTTGCATAAAGCATATTCCAGTTACATTATATTCACACTCATCAGATACTTTCATAAAATCATATACTATATAGAGTGCAACGTCACAGCACTTTTGCACATATGCCACAATAATCCAGAGAATGAATTAGGAGGAACGTTGAAGTTAAATTAGACATGTTTAAAGAGTCAAGCCATTGAATGTAGTTCAGTGGCATATCAAAGTATAACAAGATGTCATTTATAACATGTAATTGTGCCTTGTGATCTGAATAACACCCAAAACATAAATAATAATAGCGGGTGATCCATTATGTTTCCTTTTGATGCACTGTCTAAAAACGTGAGGTGTTTAAAAGGATGTTATCACTGAACATTTTAGTGTTCCTTGGGCATTTATTCTGTAAAATCTGGAAATACTTAGGATAAGCCTATTAAGGCCTAAATAAATGTGCACAAAAAGGAAACATTTTCAGGTTGTACTACTTGAGCCAATAAAGTTTGGAAACAGCTGGTCTAGAATATGGTCAGCTAGGTGTGAGGATCTGGAAATTGCATGTCAGAAACCTAAATTGGGGAGCTCACATAGGAGATTTTGTGATGCCAAGTTAAACATACTGCCTGCGTGGATGGAAGTCTTCAAAGACCACAAGCCTGGTAAACTTTGTCATCATTCAGACACTGTCTTGATCAGCTCTTCTGGGAAGACTTTGGTGTCTGGATGACTGTAGATTGACTAGGTTGGTCCTGTCTCTGGGCTCAAATATTATGTGAACACACTCAAAGCATTTAGTTCTGAGAGATCATCTCCTGCATTTGAGTTTGGAGGGGAATAATAGATTTGATACTGTGCCCTCAGGTTCTTCTGGTCTGGGTCTGTAATGCATATCCTACAGTTGAGATGAACCAGAGCTGGGCCTGCAATGGCAGCAGGGTATGTTCTTGATCTTACATCTGTTTCTTGGGCCAGGGTAATATGATTATTCAACATCAGAGCACTTTACTTTATTGCCAGTAAAATGGGTTTGTTTTTGTTAGAATGGACCTCAGGAGGTCATCTAGTCCAAAGCAGGACCAATCCCAAGACAGATTTTTGCTTCAGATCCCTAAATGGCCCCTTACGGATTGAACTCACAATGCTGGGTTTAGCAGGCCAGCGATCAAACCACTGAGCTATCCCTCCCCACATCGTTACTTACATGTGAACTAGTCCAGGGTTCTTCACATTTCTTTTTCTTGTGATTGTCATGTGGCATTCATCACATGCTGTCAAAAACTCCGTGGACCAGATCTTCAACTGGTGTAAATAGGAGTAGCTCAGTTGAAGCCAATGAAACTGTGGTGGCCAGGTAAGGATCTGGTCCCACATTTCTTAACATTGTCGTACTAGTTAAATAAATGTTCATTTCTTATTGAATGTGTTAGTACAATTTATTAACAATAAAGGGGAAAACATGGCAACCTGATTCTCCTTCCACATGTGTACACAGTGTCCAGGTGCTCAAACAATTGAATGAAGCTGTACAAAACATTCAGACATGGAATAATAATTCTGCTGTTCAACCAACCATATAAGCAGCACCTTGAATTTGTGTGTCTATTTAGAAAGGATAAGATGACTTTGCTTGTATGATACTGTGCTCCCAAAGGAAGAAGAGATTAGAGAGGTGGGAGAAAGAGGGACACTGAAAAAGTGCATTATATTTGAATTTGTATTAGTACTGCTGGTTTAGGACATTGTGAATGAGATGACTCCAGAAAAAAACCTTCATGCAGTACAAGGAAAAGCTTAATTTGTGTAAACGTTTGTGTTTCAGTGTGAAATGCATTTGAAACCATTGGGATTTTTTCCAGTATATTACTTTAGATTGGCAACATACTGCTTGGAGGGAAGATAATATGTGTGTGGCCCAAAACAACATCCTAATAATAGTAAGTAGAAGTGCTTGTAAATTGGATTAATTGAATACAGTTTCTGTGACTTTGCTGCTGTAAGATGTATATAGCTCCCTGTCCTAGGTGCTTTCAAAGATTCTGTATTTCCTTCCTCTGCAACAACTAGGGTGACCAGATGTCCCGATAAAATCGGGACCGTCCCGATATTTAGGTGTTTGTCCCGCGTCCCAACTGATTTTTGGCAACTTTTTTTTTTGGTTGTCACTCTGCCGGCAGCACTTGGCTTTTTTTTTTTTGTCTCCGCTGGCGGACCCCCACCCCCCATGTGTCCCAATATTTTCTTCCTCTCATCTGGTCATCCTAGCAACAAATGATTATGCTCCAATCAACATTTTCCTGCACTGTATTTGGTATTGGTAATGTCATCAACCATTGCAGACATGGGGTGGGGGGGGCATGGAATCCTGAACTCAGATCTTTGCAGTAAAGGAGGGAACCAATTTGCAAATACAGTAGCTGGTTCTAAAATATAAACAAATATGTAATTTTAAGCTGGATTCTTTCATCAGCCCCACTCATACATCCCCTTTGAAGTTGCTGAGGTCAGCCTCCAGTGAGGCTTCAAAGATATGACTGTGGATAGAATTTGGTTCCTCGTCTATTACTAATTTTGAATGTTAAGCATTTTGAGTAGACAAGACAAAGATTTACAGTTTGAAGAAAAAGATGCCATGCCCAGCCAGATGAGTTGTGAAAGTCAATGAGTCATCAGATATACTCCAGCTAATGCATCTGGCCTGTTTTCCTAATGAATGGATGATTATTTGTTCATAAAAGTATTTCTCCAGCAGTGCATAAAATAACAGGCTTGGGGGAGGGCATTTTTCTGACACTGCAGGCACAGACTGGAAGTCTCTTGTGATTGGTACGCAGGGGCCCTGAGCCAGGTCAACAGTAATTCCCCATAGATTCCTCCACACATTCAGCCATCCTCCCCAAAGAAAGCTAAAGGCCAGCCACCAGTGGGGAGGCACTGGAGCACTACAGCCTTAGAGTACAAGGGCCTAGGGAGTACGATCTGGGCTTCTATGAGCTTGTCTACACTTACAACGCTGCCTATGTTGACAGGAGAGCTTCTCCCGTTGGCATAGGTACTCCACCTCCTCAAGAGGTGGTAGCTATGTCCACAGGAGAAGACCTCCCATTGAAATAACACTGGACTTTCCACAGCCCTGAGTGACGTAGTTATGCCAACATAAGTTTGTAGTGTACACCAGGGCTATACCTGAGGGATTTTCTCAGAAATCTGTGGTTAGAGGAAGGCCATTAGCCTTCTCTGCGATTTTGAAGACTCCATGATATGACAACTTCTCTGCAGCCTCAAATATGTGTGGGTTTTCTTCTGATTTTGTCCCTTCCTCAGGAGAGCATAGTCCTGAGCCTAAATTACTAAGACAAAATCAAGCAGAAAGCTGTTATCTCCTATTTGGATAGTTTATTGTCCTTATCAAGGGTCTGCATGATATTGTGACAGCCCCATCCTGAAGCTCTTTCTTAGGCAAAAGTCCATGAATGTTTTTTAATTGGAAGTCAGGCAGAGATTTCTTTCCCCCATATCCTCCTGAGTAAAAGCTACAGGACTTAGTCTTTGACGGTCAACAGTTTGGTTGAAAATTTGGGCTTGACCCAACAAGAGAACTTCCATTGACTTCAACAGAAGGGCTGCCGATGGAGGGCTGGAGTGGGAATCGTATCTTTCAGAGATTAACACTTTTAGTTTAAGAATTCACACATGTTCCAGTGTGGTGGTCAGAAAGATCAAACACAGGCAGCAGCATGTGATGAGAAATTTATATTTATTGGTTAATTTTAAGGGCAGTGTCTGCTGAAATGTATTCCTAGAACATGGTAAGATGGTCCACATTATCAAAAATCAATATTAACTGGTGCTTTGGTACCTCACTAGAGCAGCAAACAAATAACAGACACTGTGAAGATTAATAAATAAACAAGGGGACTCCCTGATTTACAGAGTTTTAGAGTATCATCTCCTGCAGATTCATCCCCCCTCCCCTTTCTGTTTCTTTCTCTGTTGCCTTCAGTCCTTCAGGAGTGCACCATTTCCTGGAATTCTACCAAAGAACAATGGAGAAGTAACAGTAGCATTAATAAAAACAATACATTGAAAAAAACTGAACACTACAGCCTTATCAAGAGCTTTGCAACTGAAAAGAGCATAAAACAATCAAGTGAAAGAAGCCGATGGGAAGTAAAAAAATAGAAGAAATATATACGTTTTTGAACAAGTCTCCTGATTGTTATAAAGTAGGTTTCTCCTCCATCTCAGACTAACTGACAAGCATCACGCTGAGTCATGCAATTTTTGGGCCTATAGTCACCAGTACTGGGGTTTATTACCTAAATAATTTCTCTCAGATTAATGCATCCAAGAAAACAGTCATGAAAATTTTCCCTCTATTATTTGCTGCTTATTATAGAACCTCATGAGGTTCACTATTTTATGGACCTTTTGGACTACTTGGGGGGGTTCACCAGACTAATTTCACAACCCCATTTTCTTGTAGTTTAAACCCACATCTTTTTCCCAAGGTTGATTTCATTTTTAAAAGAAACACACATTTTCCTACCTCAAGGAAAATGTGTGTTATGTATTATAGCCACCAAGAGCTAGGCTGGCACAACTGAATGTCCTCTTTGTGGTGTTTATACTATATTAATATTGTTCCCAATTCCCTCTGCCCCTCTTTTTCATAATCTCTTCTAAATTAAGTAGGAACCCAATAATATGTTAGTTTGAATTAGCGTCTGAAGCCATGATGTTTGAGTGGGTTTTAAATAAAGCAAAATATGTTCAACCATCTCCTATTTTTTCATTGACTTTTTTAGTTCATTTAGACTAAGCATGGGCCTACATAGAGCATTGGGCCTACACAGAAAGATGGCAGCTTTTAGAGCCTTGCAGGCCCTTAGATTCTGTGGGACAGAATATTCCCTGAATCCTATCCACATGGGAGTAGATAAATTATTCATGAAATCCCATGAGTTTACCCATGCACATTTTCTGCGGTACTAGCTTTCATTCCCTCTAGGACAGGGGTGGGCAAACTGAGGGCCACATTGGGGAATAGAAACTGTATGTCAGGCCATGAATGCTCACAAAATTGGGATTGGGGTGTGGGAGGTGGTGAGATCTTTGGTTGGGGGTGTGGGCTCTGGGGTGGGGCTAAGGATGAGGAGTTTGGCGTGTAGGAGGGTGCTCTGGGCTGGGACTGAAGGATTTGGAGGACAGGAGGGGGATCATGTCTGGGGCAGGGGTGCGGGAAGGGGTGCAGGTTCCAGCTGGGAGTGTGGGCTCTGAGGTGGGGCTGGGAATGAGAGGTTTGGGGTGCAGGAGGGTGCTCCAGGCTGGGATTGAGGGGTTTGGACAGTGGGAGGGGGATCAATGCGGGGCCAAGAGGTTGGGGTGTCGGGAGAGGCTCAGGGGTGCAGGCTCCCAGCGACGCTTACCGCAAGCAGCACCTAGAAGCAGTGGCATGTCCCTTCTCCGGCTCCTACGCGAAGGTACGGCCAGGTGGCTCTGCATGCTGCCCCATCCGCAGGCACCGCTCCTGCAGCTTCCATTGGAGTGCCGGAGGGGGCCATTGGAGAGGGTAGGAGCCAGATTGGGACCTTGCCGCTGCTTCTGGGAGCCGCGTGGTGTGGCCCCCAACCCTGCACCCTGGCTGGAGTGCCGGAGCGGGTCCGAGCCACGTGGTGCAGTCCCTGAACTTGCGCCCCGGCTGCAGCACTGGAGCAGGGCCGAGCCGCGTGATGCAGCCCCCGACCCAGTGCCCTGGCTGGAGCGCCGGAATGGGGCAAGCTCCAGACCCCACTTCCCTGCGGGAGCTCGTGGTCTGGCTTAAAAAGGCTTGTGGCCATAGTTTGCCCACCCCTGCTCTAGGGGAAGGAACAGGAGAGTTGTGGCCCTCCCATCATGCAGCAGGCTGGGGAACCTGCACACAGGGATATTCCTTTCATGTTGCTCTCTAGGGCCCCTTCTCCATGGAAGCCTGTCCTCTTCTTCAGCCAAGCTGCCATTGGCTGCTTGCCCAACTTTGTGCACCACCTGTCCCAAAAGGGGGACTAGAAGACACAGAACCTGGACATGTGGAAGTTACTGCTGCATTGGGCATTAAATCAGACTAGAATCTCCAGGTGTTGGGGCAAGATGCTACTGCCTAGGGCAGCGATTCTCAAACCGTGGGTTGGGACACCAGAATGGGTCACGACTCCATTTTAGTGGGGTCATCAGGGCTGGCATTAGACATGCTGGGGCCGAAGCCAAAGCCTGAGCCACACCGCCCAGGGCTGAAGCCGAAGCCTGAGGGCCTCAGCATGGGTGGTGGGGCTTAGGTTACAGGCCCCTGACCTGGGGGCTGAAGCCCTTGCGCTTGGGCTTTGGTCCCCTGGCCCAGGGTGGTGGGGCTTGGGCTTTGGCAGGACTTGGGTGGGCTCAGGTTTTGGTCCCCGCTCCTGGGGTCACGTAGTAATTTTTGTTGTCAGAAGGGGTCACGGTGCAATGAAGTTTGAGAACGGCTGGTCTAGGGTGATCATTCCCCCAGGTCGGACCCCATCCTAACCCAGACACTCTACCGGAAATCCACAGCATCCAAACCCCACACATAGAGGACTTTCTGTGGGATCTGTGGAAGGGAGATGATGCTACTTGATCATCTCTGCCCTCCTATTACACTCACCCTGTATTGCTTCTGTGCAAAACAGACAATGGTTCAAATACTTCTCTCATTTAAACTTTTGCAAATCTGGAACAATTTCACTGACATGAATGGAGTAATGGAGTTATTGCTGGTGTATGCTAGTGTAAATGAACCCACTTGTACGTGATACTGTGGTGATCCTGCCATTGTCTGAGTCTTCCTCTCATAGTTTTTACATTAGTGTAACTCCACAAATGCTGTCACTCCTGATTCAGACCAGTTTAAGTGGGAAGAGAATCATCCCACTATTCTGAACATAGAATTCCCATTGAAGTAAACAGGAGTTTGGAGTGAGCAGTAATTATTAGGTTCCATAGGATATGTGGTCTGATCTTTTCAGCCTGCTCCTGCACAAGGGATTTCAAAGATGGGTCTCCAACATCGTGGCCTGATTCTCCCCTCACACAGGTTGTAAATCAAGGGTGACTCCACAGAAGTCAGTGGAGTCACACTGATGGGAAACCAGTGTAAGTGGGAGAAGAATGAGGTCCCATAATCACATTCTTCTGCACATTATTCAATATGTAATTAACTTCATACCTTCAACCCCAATTTTGCCATCCCCATCATGATCTGCAGCTGCCAAAAAAGTCTTGGTTTCTGAAGCAGTTAATACTCTGGCTCCGCACTCAAACCGCTGGAGGAAATACCTAGAGGAAAATATCCTTTGGGTGTGATTATCATGGAAGACAATTCTTTTTATGCCAGGTGCATTATCAAGCCGATCAGTTACTATAAACAGATTATCTACAACTTTTTGCCAAGTCATCCAAACAGAGCCTGCATTGTTCTGGGAGTTAAAGCTTAATTTCATACATTCCTGCTTGATAAGTGCAGTCCGGGCATGTTTGACTGTACACTTTGCCAAAGCACAGCCCCGGGGAATGACATTTTTCTGTACCTACTCTCTTCTTTATTGCTAGTTTTTAGACTGTATTGTTTTCTCTCTAAAGATTCCCATAGGACATCATTCAAAATCAGTACAAGGATTTACCATACTTACATTCAGCATGACCTGCCCTCAGCTTCAGCAGAGGAAGGTTTAGGACACAGAGTAATGCTGACCTCTGTGAAAGTCTCTTACTAGTCAAAGAAACAAAGAAACCCCTTACTTGAGCTCATCTTCCTCGATAAAGCCGCTTTGATCATTGTCTAAGAGCCGGAAGATATCCTTGATCTGACTGCTGCTCTTTTTGGACATTCCGCTGATCTGAAAGAATTTTTTGTGGCTGAAGGAATCGGGGGCTGGAGATAAACAATAAAAGCCAGGATGACCCAAGTCACTTCAGTTAGCACTCCTTGTCTCAGCTTCAAATCCTGAACAGTCTGATCATGTTACTTTGATATTTTAATGTTATGTTTCGATGTAAACAGTAGTAAAATAAAAAGGGCTGCCAATACAAGAAGCTCTAGGTGCCCTGACAATTTAATTAATCTTACAACATAATAAATGAGCGTCTGGAAACATTAAAAAAATCATATGTGGATAACGTATAAACTCAGCCCGCCATCAGCCTTAGTCATGAACAGTAACAAATTAACTCAGCCAGCCACTAAGTCTGACAACAGAAAATCTCTTTTCCATGGTGAACTCTCTGGAAACGTATCTTCAGTATTCCTTGAAGACTGAATTAAATTTGTTACATATTTTGCTGAATAACAGCTTTATAGATTTTCTTACCTTGGCAGTCCCTCAGGGCAGCAGCAATATCAGAAGGGCTGAGGATGTCAGTGATGCTCATCTTAAACCTGGTCCAAAAAAAAAATGTATTGCAGACAGGTATATGTGAATAGCAAACACATACACAAGTAAACATGTCCCCCCAGTAAACTTGTTTGTTTAGAGTTTTATAATAGACCATTTTTAAATTAAATATTGTAACAGGAGTATTTTAAGGGAAGAGAAGCTAATTAGTATACACTGAAACTACTGTTACTGAAATTTTTTTATATCCCTATTTTAATCAATTTGTTTGCATGAACATAATTTTAAGTTGGTGACACATTTTTATCTGTTACCTACTCAATATTTAGGCATGTCAGACAGGTTTAAACTCTCTACGTAATAGTTAAAGTAACCTAACCACTAGTTTGTTGGAATGTGTGGCATTTAGCAATACACAATAATAGGGCATGCAGAAGAAAAAAGAAAGGAAAGAAGTTTTTTTCCTCCACCAGCAAGCCTAAAAAAGAAAACAAAACCGGAACTTATCTACATAAGCTCCATCTGTATATAACCTCCAGAGATAAAACTGAATATCTTACACCATGAGCTACTGTACTTGCTACTGGCTCACTGTTGCACAGATCTGCTCTTTAATCTCTAGCTGGCTGCTCACCTTTTTGATTTTCCCAAGTAGGTGAAGAAAAAATAGCTGAAGAGATATGAGACAAAACAGTAGTGTTGTCTGGCTTGCCAGCCTGTCTTATATAGGATTCAAAAGGTGACAATAACCACTACTTAGGTTACCTTGTCATGGATCAAATGCTCGCCTTGAGACCGAGCTCAAATTTCCTGCCTAACTAAATAAACTTTTTTTCTATTTATATTGTAAGAGAATACAAACAAGAGCAGCAAATTTTTAATAAATCCACATATGTGCTTAATTACTTTTCAACTCTGCTATCAAGACATAGTCTATAAACTCCAAGGACTTGGGGTTTCCAAATAGCATCCAGATTTTAAAGTCACATGCTGGAAGGTGACTCCAACAGTCAGATGCTTAGAAAAGAAAAGCCAGTTTGGTTTCCCTAAGTCTGTTGACTCTGGGGAGGCTCAGAGGAAGTGAGAGATGAAAGATCTGAAGTGATGTGTCAGTCTGACAAAGAGAACTTGTCATTAGGATAGGGGAAAGGAAGACATCCTTTGGGATGATCTTTCCACAGCAAGCTTGATTTTCACATGTCCAAGCCATTTCCTAAATTACAGTGCTATCCCTGGAAAGGGACAGAGGGGAGACCAAAACCATCCCTGACAGCAAAAGACAGCTAAATTAGGGTAAAATTAAACAGGTTAGTTTTGTTATCCATTTCTTCCTTGCAAAGCAGGATGGCCTAGCTAAATAATCCATATGTAAGTCATTTTAAATACATGGAATAGATAACAGATGTATTTTACAAATGACAGATTGGATCTTAGTGTGGCTATTGACCTATACAAAAAACAACACAAGGAATTTCCTTAAAGTGAAATTAGAATTGCAGGCACATAGTGGTGGTTTGAGTCCATATTAACTTTCAAGAACATTAGATTTGAAAAGAAATCTCTCAAATGTTAGAAAACATGGAACTGCAGAGTTCAGGTTACACTTCTCAAGCAAGCTTCTGCTCATGTGATTAAGGATTATTCATGTGAGCAAGAGTTGCAGGATGAAGACCACAGTAAAAGCACTTGTTAGTTTGTACTTACAGATTTGTCAGGTTTTAGTACAGTAATTCATTTATGCATATATTATCCTCTTGAAGTGCATGCATTGCTCTTGTTAGTATTGGTAGGAATTGCTTAACATGTTGAGCAGAGAATATCTCACAGGAGACAAAAGGCATACATTATATATAATTACATATAAGTCTAGACTTGATTCTCATCTCATATTGGTGTAAATTGGAGGGGGGGAAATAGCTCAGTGGTTTGAGCATTGGCCTGCTAAACCCAGGGTTGTGAGTTTAATCCTTGAGGGGGCTGTTTAGGGGTCTGGGGATTGGTCCTGCTTTGAGCAGGGGGTTGGACTAGATGATCTCCTGAGGTCCCTTCCAACCCTGATAGTCTATGATTAATTTATGATTAAATGTCAGTGGATTTACTAGTGATCTACATAGTATTAGTCAGAGGTGTATCAGGCCAGAGTAATTGCACCATAATTTTTGTGTACCTCAATTTGGAATCAAGAAATATAAAGTGTTACCAATATAAAAAAATAATAATAATTTAATAATCATTTCCTTTCTTTATCACCACACATTTTGTAAGAAGTCTTAAATCATTAATAATTAGACACTTGCTTTAAATGCCTCTTTAATTTTGCACAATTAGTAACAAAATAAGATCTATCGGCTTGAATAGGGGCAGTTGATGTGAAATGACCTAAGTCCCATTTCCACCAGCTGAGAGATCTGGCCCAAAGTATCTACTCAAATATTGTTGGATAGGGATTAATTGCATTGTTTGCACAAACAGGGTCAATTCTATACACCGTGGCTGGAATATGAACAATTGCACTGTAGGCTAAATCCTGAAAGCTTCACTCAATCCATATTCAGCGAAAATTCCCCTTGAGGTCAGTGAGAATATTGCCTCAATAAGGACTAGGTAAAACTGAATATAGACTTCAGGATTCATAAACAGGGTCTCCTATGAACTATACCAAATACTGAATGCTGTCAGCAGGCTCTTTTCCTGTCTCTGGTCAGCTGGAAAGCTATTCGTAGTAATCATGGCTCACACTTTGAAACATGGGCCTGATCCTCAGCTGGTGCAAATCAGTGTATTTCAAATTATTTTAATGGAGTTGTGCTGATTTGCACCATTTGGAGATCCGGTCTCATGGCTTTTCATGGTCCTCCTATCCATCCTTTCAGCTCAGTATTTCATACTCATGTTACTCTTCCATTTAAAATTAGCTATAGTCAGTCAATCAAAGGAAGCTGGGACTGATGTACTATGTATTTTGTGTAGGTTTTTCCCATAAATTGTCCCTTTCCCTTTCAGGTGGGTTTTGCATCCTCTTCTGTATCTTCTAAATGTTGTATTTTAGGTCCTCTTATGTCTTTTCAAGATCATGTGAAGTCTCACATTATAACTTCCTTGCTGAGTTTCCTTCTCTTCATGTACTAGTGGGTTGTTTCTGAAGTCTTGTTTGGATCTATTTCGGCACCTAACATTTTCTTGCTAGAACTTACACTGTATTTTGTAATCTTCTAGTGTGTTACCATTGACTTCAGCGGGGCCAGGATTTGATCCCTGGACTTTATTGTGGGTTTCCTTTGTTTCCACTTGGATTCCTTGTATGCTGCTTGCTGAACTCTTTTATTCTTAAGCATTTGGTTTGCCAGTTGATACTAATTTGCAAGGAAAAGAAAATATAAATTGTATTGAAGACAACATCAAGATCAAGGTGTCACGGAGTGTGGGGGAGTCAGGGCCCTGCACCCCCCACTTAGGGTGACCAGATGTCCCAATTTTATAGGGACAGTCCCGATTTTTGGATCTTTTTCTTATATAGGCTCCTATTATTTCTTATATAGGCTCCTACCCCCAGTCCCGATTTTCATATTTGCTGTCTGGTCACCCTACCCCCATTTCCTGCGATTCACCGTGACTCTCAGCCAGCCAGTAAATCAAAAGGTTTATTAGACAACAGGAACACAGTCCCAAGCAGGGCTTGTAGGTACAACCAGGAACCCTCTGCCAGGTCCCTCTGGGTGGCAAGGATCTTGGGGTTCCCTGCCTCTTCCCAGCCAGCCCAAAACTGAAACCAAAAACTCCTCCAGTAGGCTCTCTCCCCATCTCCCTTTGTCCAGTTTCCCTGGGCAAAGGTGTCCCCTCGCCCCACCCCCCTTCGTGGCTCAGGTTACAGGCTCAGGTACCGTCCCTCA